CATTTTACATCCAATATAAATATTAGATGGAAGTTGGATTGTAATTTTTATTTTACGATATTTATAAAGAAAGTTGAATTGTAATTAAAACTTGAAAGGCACAGAAAATTGGTTCGTTGATTTTCATTTAGAGGTGATTTTGAGTGACAAATGTAATAAACTAAATGGTGTAACATAAAAAGTTTTTTTTTTTTTGTGTGGATGTAAATAGTCCGACGTTTTTGTCCTCGTGATTTGTTTGGTTTCCCAGTTTCGTATCCTATCGCTTGCCGAGAATCTAGAGGTACATAAATTTGAATTATTGCAATTTAAATGGCATATATTAATAAATAATGAGAGTAAGTTCGATGGGATGGTTTCTAGCAAAAACGTAATTTTGGAGGTCGTAAATCCGAAAAAAAGTTCTTTAAGTGAGCAGTGAGCACCATTAGATTACAAACATGAATTCGTATAACCTTGGTTCTGTTTTTGTTTTTTTTAACAACCAATGTGGAGTTTGATTCCTACTAAAATATTTTCACTCCCAATCAGTCAAAATAGTATAGAGTGAATAAATTATTCGACAATTTATATGTAAGAAAAATATGCTGAGATATTTGAAAGGAAATTTATTAAGCAAAATTGTGAACACGGGCACTTGCTTTTTGTGCCTGAAAATTTCACAAATAAATAAGAGTTAATTCGTGTGTTTTTTAAACTAATCGAAAACAAAAATAATCAATCATATGCATATGATTTACCTCTTTTTCCCAATCACATCTCATCGTGATAAAAATTAAAATCATTGTCTGAACTGCTGTTCCTCCAAAAATCATACCGGCCCAAATTCCCTATAGATAAAAGGGTCAATTAGACAAATAACAGATTTTGCAATTTTAATTAGATAAATAGCTATGTAATAAAAAAAATAAAGTGACTAACTAATCAAAGAGATGAAAAGTCGAAACTACCCATCTCACCTGCAAACATATAAAGCATTTGTTGCTCATGATGTCATCTCCACCAAGTTATAGGTTTACGCAGGTGAGGGAGATACAGTATATAGTAGCCTAACCACAGAAATTTAATTAATTTGAAATACATGACATTATTTTGTAGCTGTAAAAATGGTCGAGAAATTTAAAAAAATGCCGTTTTTCAAGTGCCATGTCACATTTTTGAAATTTTTACAAAAATGCCATTTTTTCAAAA